ACATTTCCTTACCACTCTGAACAATATTTAATCTATGTCACTTGCTTTTGTTTAACCTAGAATAACTGAAAGTGAGAATTTGCCAAAACTGATCTAATCCAGAGAGTGTGACCACATACACAAACAAGCACAAAAACAAAACGTAACAAGAGGAGCAAGTTTTTTTTACCCATTAGATAAAAAATAATAAAAACATAAAATTATTTGAGTTCTTACAATAAAGATGAGTATAATTTCACAAAAGCTAACATTTTCCTTATTTTAGAAATAGTACTCACCTCTCTACCAAACAAACACCTATTACCTTGTGCAATGCCATGAATATTCTATGTTCATGATACAAGCCTTCAATTAAACTCCTACCTCTACCATTTGTTAAAATAAATTTCACCAGAATATGATGTAATCATCATTATAGTCCTCCACCAATAAGAGGGCAACATATCTTACATGCACAGCAATCCCCATGAGCACTAGCATTTGGACAAAGACTTATTTTTGACAAGACGAGCTAAATGCACTGGAAGTGGGGAGGAAGGATGAGGGGTTGTGCAAAAGAGGCGAGTATCTATCTGAAACACATTTTCAGATAAGGAAAATTTTAGCTTCAGAAATGCTACTCACCTCTCTGCACAACAAACAGCTAGCATTCCACATTGAAGAAGGTGGAGGAGCCAGTGAGAATAAAGAAATTACAAAGAATAGCTCCCTTCTGAAGTCAGAAGAGGAAACCCTATGAAATTTGCCACTTACTAGAGGGGGTAGCCTAGTGGGACACCACTTGGTGGGAGACTTTATCAATCACAAACCATAAGAGGTGGTAGAGCAAAAGATATTGTCAAAATAATCTCTTGGTTAGTGCTAAAGTGTCATTAAAGTGGATGGAATTTAAGATTGCTCAACTGGTCATTACCTCACAGGTAGTCAGTTGCACACAAGTATAATAGTGTGACTAGGGCTATAAGTTAGCCCATTCCATATTGGAGAAATACTTACATAAGATACATGATACAATAATCAGGTGCAGGGAGAAACATCCCAGATATGTTTCCTGAGGAGAACACAAGACCCATTTGACTAGACTAATCATTGGGAAAGGCTCAATTCACAATGTTGTGGGGTGGCTTGTACTACACTTCCAGGAATACCCCAGCCCTACTTCACATAGAGAGGTGTATCCATTCAGTGGGGAACTCTCCATATCAACCTTCCCAGGAAATGAAGGAGACATGAGAGCTTTGCTAACTAAAGCTCTGTGTCTCTTGTTTTAATTTAAGTATAGCTTGAGTGTTAAATTTAGTTATGTTTAGTAGTGATAGTTTATCGCAGATTTGTTTATGTAACAGTATACATGTCATACATTGTTTAGTTCCATTATTGTGATTTGGTGCTTGTATTATTGCATCATATTACTAGGATCTTCTAAGTTTTCTCATTGTTTTGGTTGAGTATTGTTACATCATAATATCTCGAAGCATGTAGAAAGTTGTAAGCCTCAATTGGACTATTTATAAATATTCACTCAAAATGTAATTCAAGTTAAGTGTAAGCAAGTTAAGTTAGTGAGAGATGTAGTTAGATAGATCTAGACTGTGTGTTTGTGAGTTTAGCCATAAAGAGCATTTAGATGCATTTTTTTAAAGTGAAAATATCACAGATTATATTGTAACAAGAGATTAGAGAAGAATTTGTCTTGTCAATTGTGTTTTAAAGTAACTGAACCAGCCTGTGTGGACTTTTGACAAAAAGAGATGATTATTTAAAGCTCTGGATACAACTGTGGTGATTAACTGTGTAACAAACATTTGTATATACGTTTGAGTTGTTTTAATATATATATATTAGTTTAAAACCAGAGGACTGTGTGCTGTTTGTTTATTGTTGTAATTTATCGACACCTACTCTATAGAATCCATTGCATAAATAAAACCTGACAACCAGGATAATGGACGCCATCGCTATTGTAATAAATAAACTTAATATTCCAAAAATTATTTAATCTCAAAGTCTAGGTTCAAGGGAGGTCCAGTTCAATCTACACTTTGATCAAAGTGTGTTACTGGGTTATACTAGTTTTGGAGAAATTCCAATCCTTCTCAGTAACCCTGAACGCAAGTTAACCAAAGAGAAATAAACTGGACTTATATTATAGTGCTATTGTGTGGCTATATAATATGAAAAACTGAATAGTGGCTAATGACACTTTTTTCTTCACTTCACCTATCCAGTGTATAGGTTTTTCCTCATAGTGACTATAAAGCACCTTCACACAAACATTATGTTTGATTGCCACTGTAACTGTGAACATGTTGCAGTGAATATGGACTAGTGGACATAAAATTCTACTGTTTGAGTTAGGCTACAAGATATTGAAAACTGCATGGTTTTATTTCCTTACTTGGTTAATTATTAAATTTTAAAATAGGAAAGATAATTTTGGACCACCCTGTATATGGAAAAATAAATTTGGTTAATTTGTAAACTTACAGACAGTCCCTAAACATTACGTTAGGACAATTCTATATCAAGAAACTTTACACTATTGGAATGATAAACAATATTTTTTGTTTAATCATTAAAACTATAAACACCTACTGTAAAGAATATGGCCCACACATCCATACCTAAAATCCTGACAGTCTCAAAGACATAAAGAAGTAAGCATACAGAGTGAATGAGATACAGGGTAGAGGTTAAGAATGAATTGGAAAGCTGAACCAGCCATCCCAAAAGAGAAGGGTGGTCACAACAGAGGATGCCACATTGGAAGAGGCAAGCAGAGGAAGAATGTCCATAGAATAATGGAAGAAAAGGCCTAACAAATGTGACCTCTCAGTAAAAGCTCACCAAACCCAATAAAATAAAAAAAAATGGGGCCATAGCCAACTCAAAAGGAGGGATTAATAACCAAAAGTTCAACCATTGTGGATGAACCAAAGAAACTTAAAAGTAGGCAGATTCATCAGGATGTGAAGAAAATGTCTGAGATCTCAAGCTGGGTCATCCATCACCAAGAAAAGTATTTGCCAAAGAGTGAGAAAATCATCCATTGGAAACCAATGAAAAATGAAATTTGAGTCTTCTGGGAGAGTCTAATAACTAGCTGACAATCTCTCATCTTCATGGGAATGACAAAAAGACAGAAGTAAAGCCACAAAATGGGTTTGAGGAATTGTTCCATGGTGTTTGAAACATGGAGAAGAAAAACACATAAGAAAGCACATGAAACTCTATTAATAAACTGTAGAAAATGTAGCCCACCAGTGTACAAAGTTCAAAAGCGGAGATCTCACAGGACTATAGCCAATGGGTGGCTCCAGAAACAAATCACCACCAGTACCTGAGATGGTCAGTCCATAAAGATAGTAAGAAGAGGATAAGGAATAGGAGAGGGAGGGGGGCAACCCCACAAAACCATATATGATGAGAAACCTAGTGGGACATCCTGATCTGAAAGGCAAGAAATCAGTGATCAGAGATGACTGCTGATGAGCTGCATTAACTCAAGATGCAAAAGTATAAGAAATACCCCCAAAACACCATATCACAAAGGAAAGGTGCACAACAGCAGTCCTGTAAAGAAGATTAAGGAAGGCAAATATCAAAAAGTATAGAAACATGATAAGTACAACCCATAAACAAAGAATTCTAATGAAAAAAAAAGAAGTTGAGGAAGAGGTGAAGATGAGTAGATGGAAAGAGACAGAAAAAGAAAAAAAGAGAAGGAAAAACAAGAGATCTCCAAACTGAAAGAAGAAATTCAAGTGAAGGAGGCTTATGCAACAAGGAAGTCTGAGATTCAGCAATAAAATAACCGGAAAAAGAAGAAACTAAAGACACCCATGGAATACAAACAATGAAGGATGAGGGTAAGATTACCCGGTTTTCCTGAAGAAAAGAAACCTAGAAGCAAAATCAGGCAGTTGGAAATCCTAGATCTGGGATGAATAATCCAGTATTTGCTAGGCACCCTCTATTCTTGTATATAAGTGCGCCAGACAATGAATCGATATAGAATTGCAGACAGGCAGAGATAGAGACAGACAACTGAGTCAAGCTCAGTAGTAAGTAAAGTGCGTGAATCGTTCGTTGTGAATTATAGCGTGTGTTTATGTTAAAGTAACTGTGGAAATTAAGTGTATTGCAAAGTTGTATTGAGAAAGAATAAACTAGTTTTATTTAAGAAAGGACTTGTATCACTGAAGTTTCTTCGGAAAGAATTTTTACGAGTAATTAACAAACAACCAGAGATGTAACAATAATAAGCATAGAAATTCTCAGTAGTTCCTATGAAGAAAAAATCATGCCTAAAAACAAGCAGTGCCAAGAAATGAATGAGCCTTTGTTCGAATGCTGGTGTTCAAGGGGAATACTGCACATGGAGGGTGTGTCATCCTCCTATTGGTGAAGGGCTATAGACTAATGATGATTATAGATTGGCACAATAAATGTTAACATGTGTAGGAGTAGGAGCTTCGTTCAAAGCTGGTGGTATAGGCAGAAAATCTTCATAGCAGTATGTAAGGTAATAGTAATTTGTTGTGCAGAGAGGTAAGTAGCATTTCTGAATTTTCAATTCTGTTTTGTAATGAAAATATGTTTAAATTCTTTCACTGAAACCAAAACCATTTTTGTTTATTATCAGCATGGTTAACTGATAAAGAAAGATGAATGATAAAATATTAAAAAAGAAATTAATAGTTTTAACAGGAAATTAATTAATGCAGATCAAATGTAAAAATGGCAAAACAAAAAAGGATAGGCAAAACAAAAAACATGAACAGTGACAAAAAAATATAAGAGAAAATACAGCAGACAAATGGTTAAAATAAATGGATTTGATAAATATAAAAAAAAACAATGAGCAATTTACAAAAGTGTAAATCATAAGACAGAGAATAAAAATCACATAAGGCTGAACAAACTAATACATTCAACTAGATTATAAAAAACTGAGAATATAGTAAGTGAAAATAAATTAAATTTTAACACATTCTCACCTCGTATTGATAAGGTACTGGGCCAGATTGATGGCCTCTGGTGTTCCAGTGATTGTCACTGTCCTGTCTTTAGAACCTTCTTCAGAGTTTGAGATTTTAATTGAAGCTCCTGACACTTGCCTGAAAATCATGGTTTTGTTTAGATAAAAAAAGACAAAAAAACAGACACACACATAAATAGCATATTTTGCTCTCAAATTAAGACACACACGTAAAAGGCACTAGCCTAAAATCATACTGTAGTTGGGAAAATAAAATACAAACTGGTATGTAAATCAGCCTAAATTAAAAGGTTACTAGACTAAAGCCTCATAGAAAAAAGTGGACGCTAACTAAAGATGAAGAAACTTTGCTAAGATTAAAAATTTATAAAAATATCTGCATAAAATAATAATAAACAAAGATTTAAAGATTTTTACAGACATGGAGGAAAACCATACTTCATCTTGATTCATTGCTAGTTTTGGTTCAAAACAAAATTCAAATTTTTTGGGGGATAATGTTTCAAATGTACATCTTCTGATTCTAAGAATGAACACTAAAACAGGATAAAAACTGACACATTTCTTTAATTTTTCTGATCTTATTATAAAACAAACATGCATTTTTATATATTTTCAAATATCTATGATATATATACTGTTAAATAAAATACTGGTATTCCTTGAAACATAGTAATAATTGTAAAAATTCGATTTTGTATAACAGTTACTGGTTTTCAGCACTTGTTTTACAGTTTTTGTAAATCACTTAGCACCTTAATGATTATTAGACTTAAATACACCAGTTATGTTTTTACATGTAGAACCCTTTTAAACTTACCTAATTTCATTAATTTTGGCCCCTCCTTTTCCAATCACACATCCAATCAGATCATTTGGGATGTTTATTTCAGTTACGTTTGGAGCTGCAGCTGCCAGGTTAGGAGCAGCAGCAGCACTGGCACGCAGGGATGAGTGTGTTGCCAAAGCTGCCAGTGCTGGGAGAAAAAGCATCTTGTGTTAAGTACAAGTACTTGTTTGATTTAAGAGGACACACAAGAAGTGTGTCAAAAACTATAGTATGTATAGAGAGAAATAATTATACCCATCCTTCTGATCATGTAAATAATAAAAATAACACAAAATCACTTTCTAATGAAATTATAAAAGCTCGTATGCAACAGTTATTTATTAATATATATTTCCCCAAAGCTGATTTTGCATTTTACAGTTAAATACTCAACTTAGCTACTAAAAAGTTGTTGGTAGTATCAACAATTACGATGTTTTACACATTTGTATAATTTGAAATAATATACTTCTAAAACTGATACAAAGGACTTAAGAAAAATGAAACAATTTTTTCATTTCAATACCACAAGAAACCACTTAACAAGATACTAACAAGAGTTTATTTGAGTACGAGGTTTGTCAAACAAAGAAAGGATTTCAAACTTTTTCTTCTTCAGCTCTCAGAAAAATCAGTCTGTTACTTCTTTATCATACAAAGTATCAAATTTTGATTCCTTTTATTTTTTTCAAAAGGCAGTTAAATAAAACAGTCTCAAAATACTGTTTTAAAACATTATGTCTATAATGATCACAATGTTTTAACAAGTATAGTGGTCTACCAGCCAAAGTTATTTGTATAGAAGATCAACTAACAATAAAAAAGCAGAGAAACTTAACATTAATTTACTATATCTTCTGCTATCTATCTGAAACTTCTAAAAGCATGACAAAAAAAGCAATAAAAATTCCTTTCATAGTATACAAGGTTGTGCAGGAGTTGTCATTTTAAACCTTTTACCTCTATATAGCATCACAGGGTTATTTAAGCATGCTACACATCTTTAAAGAACAAAAACAACAAAACAGAGAGGACCCTTGGAGAGAGGACAGGAATACCTTGAGGAGTGAGGGTCCCAACGTTGTGGCCAGGCAGGAGAGGAGCATTTTGTAAGGCCAACTGATGGAGCTTGGTCAGCTGGGAAAGGAGAGAGGAATCTTACATTTCCACTGACAGGATCACTATTATTTCATTATATTTCTATTATAGCTTGCAAAAAGTCCTGAGGAGCTTTTATTTTTTTAGAATGCATGTGCTTATGAAATGTTGAGAGACAGTAAAGAAAAATCAGTTTAAAAAATTATAACTCAATATTAAAAGTCTTTAAAGTAAAGTAAGTTAAAGGTATATTTTTAATTACACACAGGTACATTAATTTCATTACAAAGTTTATTACTTCTATCAAATATTATTTGGTGAATTATCACAACAGAATTGCACAAGCCCTGTTTCATTCTGCAAAAAATAAATACTGTGATCCAACACTTCAATAAAGATACCCTGAAGTTCTTATTCAATTCATTCAGTAAAGACTGGATTGGTTGTCTTTTGGAAAGTATGTTTTTTAAATCATTAACAAACAAGTTGTCTCCAGTATTTTAAAGATAATTTCAAATGTGGCAATTTAGTTAACTTCTTTTGGAAACGGAATCAACCAAGACTGCAAAATAAACAGTTGCTAAACATCCATTTGACTTTCAGTAATTACAAAAATAGAGAATAGAAATGATCAGACATCACTTTGTTAAATATATACTAATTTTACAATACAACTGTTTAAGTGTACCAAGAATCATATAGCTGTAGCACACCTATGTTGCTCTTAAAACAGAAATGATTAACCAAAGTATGTGTACAGCATACAACATAACATTAAAAAATTTAAGGCTCAGATGATTCAGGATATACCAAGAATTTAATAATTTGATAATCTTTAAGATTAAGCATTCAAAGTATTCTACTTGATGTACTTTTCAATATTATAGTACACTATCATTAATATGCAAGTATATATATATGTGTCATGAAGTTAGTAATTTTTATGTTTTCTAAAAAAACTAAAGTACAAAATAGATAAATTTCACATTTTAAAATGGTGACTAAGGATAACAATGAGGTTTAACTAATATTGCAATTAAAAAATAATAATGATTTTATTGGAAATGTTCATCCTGTTGCATGACACACTTACTATTTTTTAAAATCTTACACTGACTCAATTTTCAAAAGAAAATTGAAATCTTACCAGTGCATTAAATTTATGTACATACATGTAGTTATATATTCAGTCAAAACAATTTTATATATAAAACATATACTTGATATTTTTCTACTCATTTCACAGCTCTGTTTCCAATGAAGTAAAGATTTTTTTTTTACATGAAAAAATTAAAAACTTTACTAATTTTCATCATAAATTGTCAGGTTTGATGTCTAGACTTTTATCTAAGTCCAGCCATTAGTAATTCTTGTGTGTCATCTTTCATTTCTAAATGATTTATTATCTTTTTAAAAATATTTAGGTCAAAAGTCACAGTTCCCAGCTATAAAATTATAATATTCTTCCCCCCTCTGCTGATAGACATAAATATTTATAAAAATTACATACAATTACAAAAATAATACAGGAATACGCAAGAGAAAATTTTTAGAATTTAAAATCTGTAAAAAATTCATACGAGAATCTGCAGACACTAATATATAAATACTGAAACAATAACAATATGAAAATTTCCACACCGTAAAGTGATCAGTCTAAAAATAAGTATGAGATTCTGTTGAAATCAAAAACAAGGTGCCCACAATTTATGTTCTTCATTTAAAATGTCTTAATATTAAACTGGTGAGTTCAAAAATATCCCATCTTCTGCCAAGGAAGTAGGTACCTGTGTTTTGTTGGTAACAATTTATTTGATAATCTAGGATCTTTTACAGACTTAGAATGAAAAACTGATGACTCTAATCTCCATCCTTCAAATATTTCAGGGTTAAACAATATGGAACTTTTTTAGCAGAGGTTTATTGAAGCTGTGTCTAATCAAGAAGACTATGCTTACTTGTTGATTTCATGTATGATTTTAAGAAAGCTGCAATATCCACTAGAACATTTTAATATACAAATTTTAATACTAACAGCTAATATATTTTAAAGAAAAACAAATGTACTTAAGTTTCTTTTGAAAACATTTTTTGAAGTTAAAACAAAATCAAAAATTGTACCTAAGTCACATGTTTGTGTCTCACCTGACTGGCAGTACAGCCTGAAATATAATGTTTTTTGCAATGATGTAATACGATACCCAATTATATCAGTTGAAAACCATTATGATAAATCCTAAGTAAAACAACCTTGACAAAATGATTTGCTAATATGATGAATCAGCACTAAAATTTTTTGCCAGAACAGTTTACCACACCTTACCATCTTTCTTTGACCACTGATACTTATGTTTCAAATTGAAAATGTTCTTTGCAGACATATAAACATATGAAACTTTTTACTAACTGAAAACAGATCAGTGTGTGTATATATATACATATATATATATATATATATATATATATATATATATACAGAGAGAGAGAGAGAGAGAGAAGAAGAAGAAGAAAGAGCTAGTGTGAAAACTAAAGTGCCAAACAGGACATAATACCCACACCCAGAGAAATCTGAACCATAAGATATCTTTTACAGATCAGAAGTTTTTGCTCAAAAATAATAAAATATCTCAGCAATGAAACACATTAAAACCTACTATTATGTTGTGATTTTAAAAATCTCAACAATTTAAAACTGACACTAGTCTTGTTAACCCCAATTTCAGATTAGGGAATAACCTTTGGTTTTTAATAGAATGCCTCAAACACAACTTCACTTTTTCTATAATTTATGAGGAATTTGAAAAAACAAAGTGGACAGTTATTCAATGAATCAACACTTATTAGTAACATTAATGCAATGTAATTTATGCCTTTCATCATATTACTGTCCTTTCTGAGCAGTTATACCTATTTTTTTAACATTCAGAAGTGCTAGCCAAAAGGAGTGCACAGAATTAAAAAAATACTACATCTTTTTTGAATTCCCACTTTTCACATAAGACTGGAAATTGCTAGTAATTTAAAAATACAGTATTATTATTATCAGAAATATTACTGGTAATACTAGTCATGATGGTAACTTACACTTTCTAACATTCCTGTGACTGTACTGATTTAAATGTTTTAAAGGGTTCTTCAAACAGTTGTGTATTTATTCAAAGTTCATTACTTAATAACCACTTGCCACTGAGTTCAACAGATACTTAGTACTTTACAAAAATAATGTTAATGTTTATAACAGTAGGATATTAAACTGAGTGCCATAGCTTTTAATAAAAACATATTAACTTCAGATAATAATTTAGGATTTTTATATATATTAAACCTAGAATGATTAAAACTTGTTGATCATTGTTCAACTAGTTTTTAATCAACTATATCCACAATTGGCATTAACTTTTAAATTAATATAAACAACGATTATTTTTAAATGACTTAATAAGCTATCTATTTTAAAGAATATTGATTCTAATTGCTTTCGACATAGTTCTTCTCCATTTACTTCATTGTCCTTTCCTCAATCTTTTCAGGCACCTCCTCTGTGAATGTGGCAGTCTCATTAGAAGACTGCTTGTTCAGAAGATTCAGACTCACTTTAAAATCAGCCAATCAAAATAAAACATTCATGAAGAATTGCTTAGATTTAGTAGAAGAGGATATAGGCTGAGAATAATAACAGCTATCTTGATCAGAGGAAATGACACACAGATATCCTTCTGCCACATTCGAGTGGTGAATCTGACTTTGAGTCATTTCCAGACATTTTTTACATAAATAGTTTGATTCACAGACTTTTGTTATTTCTGTACTGAAGCAAGTCAAGTAGTACTTCTATACCATCAACATCAGACGTAACTTCTGTGACCTTCCTTCAGTGATACATCAACATCCTTTTCTAGGGAGAGAGACTTTCATGTGTACACAAGACCCAGAATATTTGTCATTATGTGAACTGGCTATTACTAGTTTCCTGGTTGTGATGAGAACTTGCTTCTCTTCAAGAATAATGATAATGGAAAAGTAAACTCTCAAGTGTTACTCAAAACCAATGAAAACAATAAAAATAAAACTCCTTCTTAGACTATTTAATTCTTTTATTGAGAAGTTCCAGAAACTTGTCACTTTTTCTCAACTCTCAACCAGATGATGTCATCTATAATTTTGCTTTGATCCTTTTTATCCAGAGTACACAACTTTCTCAGAGAATGCTAGGCCTAAGAAAGCCTTGATCATTCAATTCAGAGTACACATACTTTTCTCAGAAGATGCTAGATCTAGGAAAGCAACCTTGTTTTGACCAGGCTTGCAAAGCAAATCATGGTGGAGTCCTAAGATGTTTCTAATTGACAGTCTCGATGTGACACTTAATCCATTTTCTTCTGGATATCAGTGAACAGCACAATCAAAAGATGAGAGCCTTGGATATGCTCTATAGTATCTTTACACTTCATATCAACTGTTATCTAAAAGAAGGAGCAAGATATCAATGATACAAACTTTGGATGCTGTAGGATGGTTGGGTACAACTTTGGAATTATCTACCTGTCTTGATTCATGTTAGTGGTATTTCTTACACCAAAGAACAATGCAATCCAATTTTTTTCCATAACTTTGCTTGTTATTTTAGCCAATTTTTTCATCCATGTATCTGTCTCTGATTGTACAGATTGTCCTGTAGATAATTGGTATATTAATTATGAAGTTCATAACTGATACAAACCATAAATTACTCCAACCATTACATTGTATGCTCAAAGTACATGCTTCTGTCATTTTCAGTTCTATATTATCATCAACTCTACTAATTTCAACTAGAAAGCTTTCATTTTTCTGCTTTTTTTTGGTAACTAATGCTTTCTTAACAATACTTATATTCTTACTCATTTTCACTGAATAACTTGCATCATGTTTTGCAGTCACTTAAACTACTAAATCTCACCAACTGCAGTTACTTACCCAGTAACCTTCTTATATCAAATAGCACCATTGATAGACCATTCCTATTGGCCATGGTTTGATCACAGGAATGTTCCAGATTGTTCTAAACTGTTCACTGTAATCTTAATACTGGTGCCATCTTGAGAGTGCAGTGAAAATTACTTAGACAACTTATTCAAGTTTGTCTCACTAGATAGCAGCACAATACACATAATCCATTTCATTTGTGGTACAACTGACTACTGTTTGTAGTCCTAGTCTGTGATAAATTAAGTATAAACTACTTATGATTTAAATTCAGCTGTGAAGTAGATAGTATTTATTTCACAGTTCACATCTAACTTTATATTAACAATTAAAAGTGGCAATGTTCCTGGTACATTATCATTTATAGTCCCCTCAATGACCTAATTAATAAAAATAGAAAGAAAAATAACTATCAAATCTTAGCTAAAATGAATTTTCTAGAAATAATTCTGAGGAAAAAAAACTGAATTATTAGCAAACCTCTATTCATAAATTTTCTTTTTTGACAATAACAGGTTATAATATAATCAAAATAATTAAATGTCAAATAATTTTAAAACAGCATTTATTTTGCCACTGGAAAACTCAAGAGCATTTGTAACACTTCTGACCAGTACAATTATTAATGGGTTCCAAAATATTTGTATAGAAGAATGAAACTGATTTGGCCTTACACTCCTCTGATAATGCATTATTTAATAACAGTTAACTATCAAACCATATTACAATAATGGTTATCGGAAACAGCATATACAATAATAGTTTGTTTGTTTTAGAGCTTTGTTAACCATGAGGAATCAAACCCCGGATTCTAGTATTGTTAGTCCGTAAACTTACCACTGTCCCACCAGGGGACTACAATACTAGAGAAGAAAACAAAAGGATTAAGAGTTCAAATTGAAATCATTCAAAAAAAGTATTAATAAGTTAAGAGTTTGAGTTCTAAATTTCATTTAATAATATATTGCATTAGTGTAAGTGTATTTGTATATATCAGAAGAAAAATTATGGTATAAAAAATTTCAATAATAACCTTTTATTAAAAATAAAGTGGAAAAAATTAACCTATATAAACTCAACCCTAAAGTATTGAAATTAGTGAAATCTGAGCTTTTGATATATCGAATTTAGAGGTCATATAAATAAACTACCTGTCTTCATTTAATGTGAGGGTAAAATGACAATTTTTTCTTGTTAAGCTGTCAGCATTTTTTTAAAAATTTGATAGGTGGTTATAACAAATTTTAGTCAAGTAAAACATTTACATTTATATAAGTTTTTGAAAAATGCATTAGTAGCATTAATATATATTCAGCCTTTATTTTTAATTTCTTTTTTTTTAAGGAATTGCATTGCATCTTCACCATCACCTCACAGAATTTATCACTAAACTAAATATTGGTACTAATGGGTCCCTGGGAATATTGATACCACTTTATCACAGTTTCTATTCCTGAGCATCATCTGGAACATTCTTAGTTTTAAGAAAGCTGAAAGCTGCCAGATTAGAAAAGCATCTACTCACGTAATTGTTTCCGTGAAGAACCTGGAAATGATAAAGAATGATGGTTCCAGTAGGCAATCTTTTATATGAACACAAATACAAAAATGGGAATGACAGGAACTATTAGGTTGTCCATAAAGTTATGGAACTGGGAGCAAAATAGGGAAAGAAGATGAGATGGATGTTAACGGGTCTCAATATGGGTCATATATAATTATGGCTAGGAAACAAGTTGGAAGGAGGGAAGGAGGATATTATAGTTATGACAACTGATAATTTAATTACTAATGCGTATAAAAATGCACAAAATAAAAGAAACATCCAGAAAAACAAACTTCAATCTGTGATTAAAATACTGAAACATTTTTACGTTATTTTACCAACAAATTAACATTACTGTAATGGTACTTTCAATAAAATAGCCTACTTGAACCATTGAAACAGTAAGATATGATTATGCAATAAAAATAGAAAAATCAAAAACATTAAAAATGTGAGCAATAAACAAATAACCAATTTTAAACTAGGCATGCTGTTAGCTTTATAACTTCCCTTATCAAAATTTTTAATTCATGGCTAGGATGGAAATAGAATTGATAAACACATGTATATTTTAATGCATGAAAAACATCCGATGTTTAAAATCGCATTCAAATGCAATAAAAGCAAATCAGTTATAACTTTACCACAGAAAATACAAGTTCAAATTAACAGATATAAAAAGCTACATACTTTTACTAATGTAATAACAAAAATTAAGAAGCAATAATTCATGCACCAACAGACTATTTTGAGCAAGACATAACAATTGGGTATTTTGCTCCTGTTTCTACAACTCATAATGTATACTTATCATTTCTTTCACTCCAAGTTATACTAGTATACAAGTAATGCATGCAAATTGAACTGTAAAAATTACCGTAACTCAAAAAAAAAAAGGGGGAATCTAACCTAACTTTTATTGTAATAAAAATAGTAATAATATTTCCAACAGTCCTAAGATACATTTGTTTTTTTTAGAGGCTTCACAAAAGATAAAAGTTCTATTGATATTATCTTTAAAAGAAAATGAAAAACATTATAATTTACAAGTGGCATCTGGCTATTTTCCACCAGCCACGTTTTACATTTTTATTGAAAATAGTTTTTAAGTTCTAAAAGTTTTACTTTTTCTGGCCCTGAAGAAAAAGTCCAAGCCTCTAAAGATTTGAAAATCTCCTGAAATCTTTGGTTGTATAATGTAGATTATTTTTATTAAAAGAGAAATGCGGGACATTTTGTATTTAGTCTAATCCTTACAGGGTACAAGTTTTATCCCCCATAAGGGAATTTTAATTGTTTTTAAATAAAGCAAGCAATCAGTTAGAAAATATACTAGTTCCAAAATTTGAATTTATTTGGCATCATTAGATGTTGTGCAAGGAAAAAGAAACTATCTATACGTATATTTATAAATTTATAGACAGACATTGTACATGGAAATATAATAATGTAGAAACATCTTTACATTTTATGTTTTTAGCCTAGTATTTTGATATTCTATATGTCCTATATTAATTTAAAATTTATTTTTCTATGTGCAATTTATTTAATTAAAACTGATTATAGAACTTCAAAATAACATGATAAAAATGCTGCAACTGCTTTTGAAAAAAATGTTTTTAAATCAGAAGAGCAGCATTTCTATAAACCCATAACTTACAAACATTATTTTGTTTTCAACATTTATTTACATTAACACTTTCTATCATTGAAAACTAAACATTACTTAAAAATAAATGAAATAAGCTTATAAACTAAAATATAATTATTTTTAAAAATGTAAATTTGATAAGTCAGTTGAGATAAATTTGGATTTAGCCTAGAATTTTATACTGTTTTATTTAATAGCTAATCAACTTTAGAAAAGAAGGTTAGTGTTAAAAAATATATACAATATCTTTTGTATATGGAACAAAGAAAGTCCAGTTTCAAACAGATTTTAACAAATGTTTTATTTTTCAAGTTTAAACCCAAGGACAATTGAACAGTTTTCAAAGACAAGATAAAATTACATTAACGATGAAAGTCGTGATCAGATTAAGATAATGGTTACCATGGGAATGAAAACAGAGAGCAAGTTAAACTGCAAAAAATTGGACTTTAATATAGATTTTTTTTTATCAGGATACCAGTCATACAAGTAAATGCATCTGTGCAAAAAAACAGTACAATAAAGAATTATAAGATACAATATGTCATCTGCCAACCACTGATCCAGTGATTAGAAAAAGTCATGAAAAGGAATCATTACTACTACATCATAAAGATGTTTGCATCTTTTGTAAAAAACACAAAGTAGCAATCATAAACATGGGTGTAAAGCTGCAGCAACTAAACAGCAATATTTCTATACATTAGACTCAACACTTGAATTAGCCCCTTTGTTGCACAAGCCAGCCATCTTTAATATTATGGGAATTTTTGAAAAAAACTGATTATGCTCTATAAAAGCAGCAGTTGAGACTAAGTTCCTGGCCTCAGTTGAAAGGGTTCATGTTAATAATCATCTATAGCCATACAAATATAGAATGTAAACTTGTGTGATAGTTGTTTCTAGGGTAAACCTACATGACAGCTATCTGCTCTCTGTCCATCGTGGGGAACTGAGCTCTGGACTTTATTGTTGGAAGTCTAAAAGCTTACTGTTGACCCACAGGGGACTCACTATAATGTAAATATGGTTTTGAATGCAGGTGTAGCACGACAGTAAAAACATTCAGTGTGTTAATTCTAGGTTAATTCATAGTGAATATGAACATGAAAAGAGTTTCACATAATACGTTTGAACAATGTGTAACAGAAACGAAAAGTTATTCAGTTTTAATTTAAGATATTTAATGAGACAGTCCATGTTTTATGTTATTAGTTGCTTATAGGTTTCTACATTAAATATTAGTAGTTTAGCATGAAAAACATTACATACATACATATATATATATATAATTATGTACATGACAAAAGCATACTTTGTGAAGACTAAACACTTTTTATCAAATTCCATACTGATGACATCATCAAGTAGTTATGTTCAAACCCCAACTTGGTGTAACTTACCATACTTAAACAAAATAACTTATTATTTTGCATACCATATTTTTCCCAGTATCATGATTTTTATTCAAAATATGACAGTTATAATTTCCTCATTTTCAATATACAGCTCCCATATTTACAATGTCACACTAAGTTACATCAGAAATATACATCTTAAATTACTGAAAAAAAATTTCCATTGGATTTCATTTGGCTCTTCAATGAATGAAAACTAAATATAAGCACTTCACCTTTATATCAGTTATAAACCCTTAAGTTTAAAAATTGCAACAAAATAAAAAAAAATCAATCTTTATTTAAGTGTTGAGATTAAAAGGTCTTACTCGATATTCCAAGAAAATATTATTTTTTCTTTTATAAAAGCTTGTGGAGGTTTGAATATGTTATCTCTCTTCTAAAGAAAGGTATTACAATTTAGTTGATCTACTTGTGAATAGCTGCTACAACCTTTAAGTGCAGTCAAGGAATAACATTATTATGTAAACTACAGAATGCAATGTTTATGTCTTACTGAGGTTGATAGGCTAACTATAATCATGTAGAATCATATAATTCTTATTCTAAGTAAGCACTGATAATAGTGTGTGTTCTCCCTTAAGAAGTACTAACAATCTAATGTTTACGTCCACATAAGGAATGAGGATATATTGCCAATGAAGGAATACTTTGAAGGCAGTACTTGCATATGAATTACTAACTAGTCTGTCTGAGAACAAGTTCTAAAAATTCAACATTTATTTCTGAACTACAAATGGTCTTAAGTTATTTGCATAAAAACATTTAAGAAGCAACACTTACATCTGGATGAGGAATGGCGTACTGGCCCTGCACTGTGTACGCCTGCCCACCGGAGAAAATAACAGGTGGCATGGTTGGCTTTGGACGGTACGGTATTGTAGCTCCCTTAGGAGGAGACTGAGGATAGAGAAATGTATTATAGCTAGTGAGCTTTTACTGTAATAATATCAACAATATCATTTTTTTTCTTGGGACTTATTCAAGACTTTCATACATATACTATTGCAAGATTTTGTTTGACAAAAAAAAAAAAAAATTTACAGACTTGTATACTTAAAAAACATTTGATCTATGATGCACCAAGTAGTAAGACAGAGAATTTTGTCATAGCTTTCACAAGTATAGAGGCCTTCTAACATTGTGAGTGTTTACCGAACAAACTTAAACTATGATGTTAAATCTTTTAAGTCTGTCCAACATGTATTGTTTACTTCTATGGCATTTAAAATTTTTTTTTAGAAGTACACATATTCCAAAACAAAATATATTTTAAAATTTGTTTACACAAGCACATCCTTTAAATTATTATGTGTATGGCAGTTTGTGCATTCTGAAGCTCAGACTTGTTTATAGCAAACTTTTTCTGTCAATTTAAATAAATATATATATATAAGAATATTTTCACAAACTGGGCTAGTTGTTTCTAATAGAGCAAATCTCTTTAAATTACTTAACTCGTGGTTCTGTTCATCAAAACTGAATTTTTACACAACAGTTTAGATTTTAATTAGTTGCATATTTTCTCAGTTTGGTAATGTACATAACAATTACTCTAAAGTTGTAAGATATCAATTCCTAAGCATATTTTAGTCACAAATAAAGGTTTTCTTTGAACTTCTGGTGATGGTAAAGTGCACAATAAGGAATAATGTTGGAAAACAGCTAAAACTGATGTACATCACCTGACAATTAGGGCATCACAAACTACAAAAAGTATTAAAAATAGTGTATCATGTTTTTGAAAATATGAAAATATGTATCCTTGCAATGAAATGGTGGTAAGGTTATCACACATGCTAACTTTGATATGCTGGACCATAAACAAAATAATAATGGCATACACAGCTGTATGTAGGGCAATGTTTAATTACACAAGTGCATTAGTAAATAGTAAAGCCCATGCACTGAGGTGAGGCAAACAAACAAAAATAATAGACTCAACTAACTGTATGATTACATTACAGAATATAATGGCCTCATGCAGTATAGCCTAAACTATTAAAGAAATAAAGTAAGAAACAAATTAGAAGTTTATTTCAACATATATGGATTAGAAAACTAATAGTTGGTACTTTCTTGTCAACAGATAATGCAAAACACCCCAAAGTAAAATAAAACAAATAGCCTCATGTGGTGTTAGGGATGTCACTGTGAAAGTATTTATACATTGCCAAAAGATGGCAGCAATTTTCATCAGTTTAAATAAACCACTTTAATGTACTTAAGTTTGACTTCCAACTACTAAATGTGCATGTTCGCTTATTTCAAATATGTATAGAAAACCTAAGTTTAATACCTTTGTTTGTACAGTTCCATATTTTAATATAGATAGGTTTTTCAAAATATTTTTGAATATGATGCCAATTTTAGCTTACAGACTATTTAGTTCTACCTACTAGAAAGTATTATTATAATATAAAAATGTAATATATGTAATATGTAATATACTTTTATGCAGGATCAAAACATAAAAGTAATATAACTGGTCCAAACCACAATCAGCCATATCACTACATCTAATAATTAGCATTTTTTTCTTTCTATTTTCCCTTATTTTAAAGAAGAATCTTAACTTGAATTTCAGTATTTTACCACTGCATCTACATTCCACAAAATTGTGTCAAAGTTAAGAAGTATTAAATTATTCCAAAAGAAAAACAGAATGCAGAGAGATCTGTATTAATAAACTGTAAATATCTAATTATCTAAAAAAAAATTACAAATCCTTTTATACTTTATCTTAAATCACTAATCCAAAATGATATCCTACCTCCATCATAACACAGCATATCTGATAAATACACTTAGTAATAGCATCTGCTGCCCCTGATATAGTCACTGCCCTTTCTGTGGAGTTAGGCAGCATCTCGCTAGCCACTTGGATAGATGCTCCAGTAACCTAGAAGAAACCAATAAAAATACATCAATCAACAACGTCAGTGTTTATTAATGCATTGAATCCGGTTAAGCACTTTTTGTACCATAACTAGTTAAATAATGAATTATTACTGCCTGATGAATTACATAAGGAATAAAGTGTCAAATGTCAATGTTTCCAATCTGGGAAAACTTCCAGTGAACAAAATATCTGATAACAATGTTACTAAGAAAACCTTTACTTTATCATCTAGTCTTATTTCGTGTGTGTGTGTGTATATTAACATCAGTTTAAAGAGTGGCACTCATGAGAAGTAATCTGTTCTGTCTTGGTCTTAGGGAGATTCAATGTCATCAACTACTTTTCCATATGTAGTGTTTACCAATTACTATCAATATTTCTGAAACAATGTTGCCTTGTTTCATTACAAGAGTGTTAAAACATTGTCGGACTCCTTTTCCAGATGTAGTATTCACCAATTACTGTACAGTACTGTACTACCAATATGTGTGTAAAGCAATGTTGCCATGTTCCATTACTAGAGCATGCCAGTGTTGGACTAGTTTACTAGGCGAAGTGTAATACATCATCTACTGGTTACGATGGCAGAGGATGTAAACACATTGTGTTCACGTGCCATTGTCTAAGCACGTTATTTTTTCTGCTGCAGAAATGCCTTGTTTCCACCTATCCAACATGGCTCCAAAGCGATCACCTAGTGATAGTAAAGTGCCTCTTGACAAGAAGTCCACAAAAACAATTAATTTTAGCACTAAACTGTTTAGTTCTGTAGTGTTCTTACACGCATATTTTGTATAGCATACTGTAGTTAAAAATGCCATGTTACACCCTTTAAAAAAGCTATTCAAGAGTGGAACAAAAATTTTCAGGAACACATCCCCATAATATATATATTTGTGTGTGTATAGATCACAAACTTCTTGATTGAAATATTACATCTCAATAAGATTCTACAGATTCATGTGTGTCACTATTCTGTACACATTTCACGTCTTTCAATGAGGAAACAAAGCTTATTTGACACATTTTCCATGTAACTTGTAAAGACAGGAAACAACAATTTGATCAGTTTTTCTGTCTCTTCAAAATAAATTTCTGACACCACTTGTTATACTCTAGAACAAGAATTTTGGAACTAATAGAGAGTTTTGTGCTTTCATTAAGGAATTTCTGTGTGAAAAATCACATAATAAAACAGTAGGGTGCACTGTATTTCTTAAAATATAGTTTTTAACATAATCATATGTACCTGCTGGTGGTGGGTGTAGATTTTAGAAGCAAATATAAACTGTCAGAGCTGTTCAAAATGGTGTATTCTTTAATATGTATTTACAACTGCAAAATGTTGAACATAAATAATTGAGAATTTGGTTCTCTTGTTTTACTACAATGGCAGATTTGTAGTCAAATAGTGCAGTAAAAAGATAATTTGACATCATAAAAGCTATATCCCTGAAATATTTCAAAACGTTTTTCATTCTCACAAAAATCCTTAATGAAAACCCAAAAATTCCCGGTATCAGTTATGAAACTCCTTTTCTACAGTAAAACAAACGGTGTAAGAAATCTATTTTAAGAGACAGAAAAACCTTTCTTAAGTAGAATAAACTACACTGCTTTATTACTCAAATTTATTTTTGAGATACAGTAGAATGTATTGGGACAGTTTTTTTCAGTAAAATTTTTTGAGTCAATACAAAAGTTTGTTGTCTATTTGAAAATTCTCTAAATTGTGAGCTCAACATATAACCATAAGAAATTATTTTTACTGAATAATGATTATCTTTCATATAATTATCCCTCTTATGGGGTATTAAACCTTTACAGAGAATGATTATAATCCTCTCACCTCCCTAATTTCTTTAATTTTTGACCCTCCTTTGCCAATGAGAGATCCACACTGGCCAGCTGGAACAATAAGACGGAGTGTGACTGGAGGTTTAGGAGCTCCAGCACCACCTGCTGTATTCTGGAGATCCTAAGGATTATTAGCAGCTAATTAGTAGAAGTTAAAATTAAGTTCTTGTAAATTACACATGACTCAAAAAATAATTACAAAGGATATTTACAAGTCATAGATAAAATAGAACAAAAAAGCTTTAGTTTGATATCACTTATATTTGCTTTACCTCCACAATACTAAATATAATACATGATATACAAATATAAAGGATACTTACAAATCCATGTGTACTAGAAGCTTAATATAAGAATAAGAAGTAATCTTCAACCAAATTTTTCATATATATATATATATACACACACACACACACACACACACATATATATATATTGTGTACAAGATGTATTGGAAAAAGAACATGATTGATATAATTCTTAATAATGACAAGTCCTTCTAAAAAAGCTATTTTACAAACTGTTTCAGAATGTTTTAAAATCTCTTAATCTCAATAAATAAGAACTACTTAAACACACAAGCTTTAAAATACTATCAAAAAACACAAACATATGGAATAATAAGCAGTATTATTTTTATAAATATTAATAACGACTATAATTATGAAATGATTATAGTACTAGTACTAACTTACATCAAAAAATGTTTGAATATGTTATGTAGGTAATGTGATGCCACGAAAAATTTATCATTTTGGGGAAGGGAATCTAACAGCCCTTTTCAATGCTAAATTTTCATTAAGATATGTTTATATTACAGATTTAAAATTTCCAAGACGGGGATATCCAATGTACATAATAGCATTGGAAAACAAAGGAGTATGGATCAAGTTGGAGAAACAGGACTATCTAGAAAGAAAACAGCTTTTTGAAATGGAAATTATGCTGCAAGATACATGGCTGTCAGATAAAGCATGACTGGGTGTGGTGACATGGACTGTAATGATATTGTGGGGCCTCAAAATAATTTTAATATAATGCACTCAACCATTTGTATTATTACAGCTGTTGACAAGGGATGGGTCCAGTTTAATAAAGCTATTTGCAAAGCAAATGTTCAATGTCAATATAAATAGAAATACTGAAAAACTGTTTTATTGGTAAGTATTTGTATACATACTGATGCAAAAAGACTGATTATTTAATATTTGACAATTATCTCAAGTATAACTGAATTTTTTAGAGAAAATTAGGTTCTATTAATGTAATAAGAAAGTTGGGAAACCAATATTTTTCTATGGTAATAATTAAGAGTAGAAAGAAGTTCGGTTCTAGTACCATAGAGATGATAAAAAGATAAAATATATAACACTAGCAGAAGAAGACTATTAATATGGCTAATATCTTGAATGGGACTTTTCCTTAGTGTGTGCATCTTTCTATTCTTTTTCTAATTTTAATATCAAATCATAACTTGAAATTAATTATAATTCATTATTTTTGTTTTCAACAGCACATTGGCAACTAATGACTTTCATCAAACACGCGGCATTTTTCTGAAGCATTTGTCTCAACTGATGGTTTTGTTTTGTATTTAATAGTTTTTATAGCCTAGCAAGCATTTGTTTGAAACTTTTAATAATTTCACAAAAAATAGTAATAACTAAAGTATCTGAGAGTAACAATAAGTATGAAAAGAGGCTAAAATAAAACAAACTATTTGGGTTCTTGAGTAAACAAATCATTGCAAACTCTAAAGTTTAAAAGAGTTCTTGAGTGGGGCAATTTTCCTTAGAAAAATATCAGTAAGTGGTAATCAAAAACAACCACAAGCAAATAAAATGCCTATTCTCACCTCTTCAAACTTGCTGGCTATGAGTGTGAAAGCCTTGAGAATAGCCTCAGTTGATCCAGTGATAGTGACTATTCGTTCTGGGCATGAGCCATCAGATATGTTTATTTTGGCTCCACTCTGGAAAAAGAATCAGTAATTGAAACATACACCTACAAGTCACAAAATATTAAAAGCATGCTTTTAGTTGTACTATCACACAAGCAACAGCTTTTCATTGAAGAAAAGTAATTTAACAATTTCAAGTAAATTTTTGTTTGTTTGAATTTTATTTTACCCTATCATAAGTAATAATTATTTTCAAATTTCATATATTTTATTCATGTTGTCCATAAAACTGAAAAACCATTATCCTTATTTATCAATTTGTACTCAAATTTAATCAAAAGTTTTAAAAATTATGTTTTATCAATTTGTATTCATTCTTATCATGTGGGGTTAAATAATTATTCTTATTTAAGTATTCATACCTGTTCCTATTCAGAAAAGTAAGAAATTACCCTGACTTGTAATTTTTTGCTAAAATTCAAAATAATTAAGGATTTATTACAGTTATTTAGCTATTAATGTTTATTCTTATGAAAATCTAACAAGCCATTATTCTAAACCAATTAATATTTGTTTGTAATTATACAATTTAAGATACCAAACTTTATCTTAATTTATAATGTATCTGTTCCTAAATATTCAAGGATAATTAATTTAATTTTATAATTCTAAATTGCTGTCATTCAAACAATATGATAGTTTAACAAATTATTTCTTATCAAAATTTAATAGCTGAAGATTATCTTACCTAAATAGCTTGAATTATAGTTTTACTTTAAAATATTTAAGCATAATTATCACAATTTGCAAATAACTTTTATTCTATACAAAGCAAATTTTTTTATTCAGCAGCTTTTATTATTATTATTATTACACATTTTATATATTCAAGCAAATAAAATTTACCTCTTCTCTAAATTTCTTGATATTGTCACCTTTCTGAAAGAAAAAAAACAAAAACGAATGCATATCACTTTGATTTTATTTCTGCATAAAAAGCTAGAAAAATGAATGATGATCCCTCTCAATAAACAAGTGAACCCTTTAGCAGTATAAACTTTTCACAATAGGACAGAATACTCAGGGTCTAAGTTTCAAAACAAAATACAAATGCAGATTATACAATAAAAAAAATATAGTTGTAAATATATATTTTCATTCATTCTTTGTAAAAGTTTCAATACTACCCACAAACTTCACTGCAATACAAAAATTTAATAATTCATTCAATAAATTGTATGTTACTACAACACTCATAACAAATTTTTTGAGAAGTACTAAAAATGTCTAGAATCTGGATGCACAGGGTTCAATCATTTCTGAGAGCTGTCAATGTTTGTTTCATTTTCAAACTAGTAAACATGTATACACTAACTGTAATGAGGTCACATCTCTCATAAGGATATCAATTAGGAGCACTATTCTCAGACAAATCAGTTTTTCTAAGTACTAGGCATTAAAATGGGTTGTCCGATATGTTCGTGGCCCGACCAAAATAAACCGGAATATATATATATAATTTTCTTTGACGAATATTAAGTTTGAACCTTTTTATGAGTAAATAGCATGTAATGTACAACTTCACAAAATTATTTTGTTTGTTGGGATTTTTGAAGGAAAAAAATGAGCATTGTTAAACATCACGGAGAAGATTGAACTTTGTATCATGATCAAATATTTTGTTAAAAAGAAAATTACACCACAAGAAATCCACCAGGACATGGAATCAACATTAGGAGAGGGTGCTCGAGCATATTCAACAGTGAAAAAGTGGTGTGCAGAATTTAAACAAGGTACACAATCGTATTAAGATAATCCAAGGTAAGGTTGGCTCTTGACATTGAACACAACAGAAATTGTACAGAAAGTTCATGATTCAGTTATATATGATAGAAGAAAGTTAGCAGAGGAACTGGGAATCAGTAAAAGTACTACAGCAAGCATTTTGAATGACAGTTTGGGCATGGCTAAGGTTAGTGCCAGATGGGCTCCAAAAATGTTGTCATCTGAGCAGAAGTGGATCAGAGTTGTTGAAAATCAACAACTACTCCAAAAGTTTCATTATATTCATAACCATGGATGAAACATGAGTTCACTACATCATTCCCCAAACAAAAATGCAAAGTATGCAATTGAAACACCCAAGTTCATCCACCCCAAAGAAGTTCAAATAACCATCCTCTGCTGGAAGGGTCATGACATCAATGTTTTGGGAATGCTATGGGAGTTTCACTAACTGATTATATGGAAATGGGTCAATCCACTACAATAGATTACTACAAATTCTTAATCAACAATTTGCAACAAGAAATAAGACAATGCCCAAGCTCACAAATCACATATTGCTTTCTATGATGGTGACTTTAAATTACTCATTCATCCCTTTACTCACCAGATTTATGTCTAAGTAACTTTTTTTTGTCTTCCCTAACCTTAAAATCTTTCTGAAAGGTCGAGGATTCCAGAGAGATGATGATCTCGTATGTACCACTCAGTCATGGATTGAGGACCAAAAATAATTCTTTGAGAATAACATAAAGACCATAGAGCACTAATGGTGCAAGTGTATAGACTCAGGATGAATTTATGTTTAAAAATAAATCATAGATGAACCAATGTCTTTTCATTATAAGTCAGGCCACAAACTTTTCAGACACCTCTCGTATTATGAAGACATTTTCTCAAAGACCACATTTTTACTCTTCCCACACAGTTTTTGTACTCTAGTTAGTGTAATATGGTTAATGTTATAATGTTCGAAAAAGATATGATTTTACTTTACAAAATGAAAAATATAACTAATTTCTTGTTGGCATGATAATTTTCTTTTTCAAGTCTAGAATCAAATGATTTTGTAACATATTTAAGCAAGATCAAAGAAAATTATGCTAACACAAAAAAATTTAATAGGACCCAAGATTAAGTAATGTTAGAACACTATGAATTTTGTTGTCAAAGCATTCAGTTCTGTTCTGATGCTTTAATTGTAATGGAATGACTCATTATTATAGTAATTTGCTTACCTTTCCAATGATACTTCCAACTTCCTACAGAAAGAAAAAAAACATTTAAATATGAAAAATAATCTTTTTTTTATGCTTCACACTTATGTAAAACCTAGAGTTTTGAAATACTGGAAGGTAAATATTAATCTGCAACTGTTTTATTATTTGACAGGTTACCATATCTTATGTTCTTTTATGAATACTTATATTACACTAAAACCATGATTGAGTGACAAGTAAACTTTAACTACATTCCAAACTATGCCAAATGAAACATCCCTTATTCTACAATTAGTTTTGTCATTTAATAACTAAAAATGCATCTTTCATATAATGAGGAGAAAAAGCTTAAAATAGAATGACATCAATTATGAGAAACATTTTTTTAGGTGTACAATATTTATATTCAGTCACTCTGTGTCTAGGATCATTTGCAGAATATTTAGTGCTAACTGTGAAAAAACAGATAATTTATCATGTGACTCAAACTACCCACTGAATACAGACTCTTGTGACTGAAATTGGTCATGGAATACATGTGACGTGTCACAATCTAGTTATAGAAGATGTGTTATATCTGATCATAAAGTATGCGTTTGCATGCCTAATATTATTCTTTAACACATATATACTGTGTGACCATAGACTGTATAAGTGATTTATAAAACTTATTATTTAACTCAGATAAAGCTCTTCAGTGTATGAAACAGAAATTATTATAGAAATGAAGTAAAATCATTAAAATTAACACAGATCTAACACAGTGGATTTGAAAACTTTAATGGATTTCAACTGCCTGTTATAAACAAGAAAAGAGATGACATTTCGGCTTCTACACTGAGGCCTTCTTCAGTAAAGAATCCCAAACGTGGTATCCTTTACATTCAAGGGGCAGTTGTTGTCCTTTAATTAAAATCTATAAACCTACTGTGTCTACTCTACTAAAAGTTTCACTAAAACAATGGACCTAACATGTTTGGCAATTCAAATGCCATCATGAATAACATAAAAAGTTGCCAAAACATGTTACATCTACATTAATAAATTTAATATTTTCAGTTCAAAAAGTATAATATTGTTCCATTTTTGTCGGATTGTAGATCTCACCACTACATAAAATATGTTAACTACACTGAATCACTAACTAGAAGATTTCAAAATAATTAACACTTTAAATACCACCGATATAGTTACAAGTGTTTTCAGACTATCCTTTTCATTAGTAATGTGAGGAAGGAATATAATAAACCTTTACAAACTAAAACTTTCCACTGCATAGCTAAACCTTTTACTTTTTCACTCAATGTAGCCTGTACCATGCAAAAAATTTAAATGGTGTCAGTTAAATCAGTGCAAACAGATAACCATGCTATATAGAAATCTCTTTCTCTCAATATTATTTTTCAATTACATACAAGTGTTTCAGCAAGAATAAATCTGTATTACCCATTTAAAATATAATGCAAATGCTAACACCATAAAGTCTGGTAATTTGAAGCTGGAAAGAAGAAAATTATTCAATTAAAATAATTTTTTTCCTCAATTTTATTTGAATTGTATTATCTGTTTCTTTGTTGTTAAAAAGCTACACAATGTGCTATCTGTGCCCTGCCTGCTGTAGGTATCAAAACCTGAATATTTAACGTTATAAGCACCCAGAATTATTGCGGAGACACTTGGGATATTTTACTTTCTTGCATTTGTGCAATATAGTTATAGGTATATACACTGAGTGGTCACAAGTAAATAGACACCTATCTTTTCGTCATTTAACTTATTTATGCTAACTAATTTGTGTTCACAGAGCACTATACAAATGAAAATGGTCCACACACTAATTATCTTGTGCTACAACACGCTTAGAACTCAAGGTTCTCTCGAATTGTCAGATTTTGTTAGAGGAAGGATAGTTGGTCAAGCAGATGGTGGAATAAGGCAGCGACAAATTTCGCAGAATTTGGGAATCCTG